GATCCCACCACTCAATGCTTGTTTCCCGAGCCCAAAAGTGGCGTTCCATGGTGGTGAGCATGTCCATGAACGCCAGAAGCAATCTCGTGTCGTATGCGTTATGCGAGTCGACATCATCGTCGGACTTCTCACTGTCAGTTTGTAGCTTAAGGAGTAACTCAACTGCAATTCGTGACATGCTGGCGAGACCCATCAGCATATTCCTCAGTAGTTTGGGATCCATTCCCACAGACCGAAAGGGAAGACAGAGCGCGCAGCACAAAAAACATTGAAAGATGGCACCAAATGTGGACGGAAGCACAGGGATTGTTGGGATGCAAAGCGATGCATCACAGTGCATTGGGACAGGACCCAGAATGCCCTGCACTCACCCGCCTCCTTCCCACAAGCCACAGCGCTGGAATGGGAAGAGGTGCTATGTGGGATAGCTGCCCATAATGCACTGCTCCCAATGCTGCTGCAAGTGCTGCAAATGTGGCCATGCCAGTGCGCTTGCAGCTGACAGTGTGAACACACTGCAGCGCTTTCCCTGCTGCAGTCTGCGAGGGCTGGTTTAACTCACAGCGCTCTACATCTGCAAGTATAGCCATGCCCTATGTCTACACGTGCAGATATAAAGCGCCGGGAGTTAAACCACCCCTCAGAGAGTGTTCCAAGGAAAGCACTGCTGTGTGTTCCCACTGTCAGCTGCCAGGGCAATGGCATGAACACACTTGCAGCATTTGCAGCGACATTCGGAGTGGTGCACTCTGGGCAGCTATCCCACAGGGCACCTCTTCCCCTTCTGCTGCTGAGGCTTGTGGGAAGGTGGCAGGGGGGGGGTCTCGGGGCACCTGGGTCCTGTCCCAATGCCCCATCATGCATCTCTTTGCATCCCAGCAGCCCCTTTGCTTCCATCCACGTTTGGCACCATCTTTCAATGGTTTTTGTACTGTGTGCTCTGTCTGCCTCTTTGGTCTGCAGGAATAGATCCCTTGTGATGACCATTGTGACACTGGGAGATCCTGCCTACCCCTTGATGCTGTGGCTCATGAAACCTTGACAGCAGCAAGGAGCGGTTCAACAATAGTTTGAGCAGGTGCAGAATGACTGTTGAGTGTGCCTTTGGCTGTTTAAAGGCCTGCTGGCGATGTCTGTATGGGAAGTTGGACCTGGCCGATGACCACATCCCTATGGTTATAGTCGCCTGATGTACCCTGCATAATATTTGTGATGGGAATGGTGAAAGTTTCACTCCGACCTGGAGTGCTGAGTGTAACAGAGTGTGGGGGAGCCTGGGCCCTGCACCCCCCACTTCCTGTGATTCACCGTGACTCTCAGCCAGCCAGTAAAACAGAAGGTTTATTGGACGACAGGAACACAGTCCCAAACAGAGCTTGTAGGTACAACCAGGACCCTTCAGTCAAGTCCTTCTGGGGGGCAGGGAACTTAGACCCCAGCCCTGGGGTTCCCTCCGTTTCCCCAGCCAGCTCCAAACTGAAATCCCCTCCAGCCATCTTACCCAGCCTCCCCCCCTGGCTCCTCCTCCAGCCTTTGTCTGGTTTCCCGGGCAAAGGTGTCACCTGGCCCCAACCCCCTTCCTGGCCTCTCATGTTACATGCTCAGGTACCTTCCCTCAAGGAAAGTCTCCCATCCCCAATGCAGACAGTCCCAGTAAAACTTCCCTGCAACATTCCCAGGTCAATACTCCCCACTCCCTGCTGCGTCACACTGAGTCTCAGTGGCTGGAGGCTGGATTTGAGCAGCCAGAGACCGGGGCTATTAGGGGAGCACAACGCAGGTCTGTGAGGATTCGGGATGCTCTGAGGCAGCAATTTGATGCTGAAAGCCAGTAATGTTTGGTGCCATGCATAGGAGTGCAGTGGTTGTAATGCTAGTAGGTACCTAGTGCTCCATATGATGCACTGACTAGCAGTGCTTGTTGCTTTCCTGGGCTATGCTTGCTTTCACTTAATGCAATTGTGACATTGCACTCCATATGCTTTATGAAAATATGCTTATGAACATGAATATAACATAACTGAAATATGCTTTATTCTAAATGCCCCATGTAACATACCATTAGAAAAATTATGATCTACTGTGTTGGCGGTGACATGGGGGCGCAAGGGAAAGAGTTTTGGGACACAGGCTGCAGGGGAGGGTGGGTGCGGAGCTGCTCCGTATGCAGTTCTATGAGTGCCTGCCTCGAGTCCACTTGCCGCTCCATGATGTTTAGGAGCTGCTCTGTGTTCTCCTTCCATTCCCTCATCTTGCTGTCACATCACTCCTGCATTTTTCTATTCTCAGCAACAGCCTGCTGCATAACTTCACAATAGGTTGGGTCACCCTCCCTTATGTGTTTCCCAGGGCAAATACTTAACATACTAGAATAGAGCCAATGCTCATAACTTTAGATATGAAAATGATACATGCATACAAATAGAATGAATGTATTCAATAGATCATAACCTTTGCAGAGATATGTTACATGGCATATTTAGCATAAAGCATATTCCAGTTATGTCATATTCACATTCATAAGCATATTTCCATAAAACATATGGAGTGCAATGTCACAGTGGGGTCACCCCCAAGTATCGCGTTTAGCTCTTTGTAGAACCGGCAGGTCATGGGAGCAACACCAGAGAGACAGTTTGCCTCCCGTACTTTGTGACATGCATTCCGCAGCTCCTTCACTTTCACCCTGCACTGCACTGTTTCCTAGTCATAGCCCCTTTTGGTCATGGCCCTTGATATCTGTCCATAAGTATCGTAATTCCTATGGTTGGAGTGCAGCTGGGACTCGACAGCCTCCTCTCCCCAAACGCTAATGAGGTCCAGCACCTCAGCATTGTTCGAAGCTGGGGATCACCTGGCACGTGGAGGCATGGTCACCTGGAAAGATTCACTGAGAGCACTCCACGCCTTGCTGAGCAAATAGGAAGGGGATTTTCAAAATTCCCAGAGAATTTAAAGGGCGGGTCTGACGGTTGGTCACCTGAGGGCAGGGCAGTAGAACTCAAAGTGATGACCAGAGTGGCTAGAACAGGCATTGTGGGACACTTCTGGAGGCCGATGAGAGCGCAGCAATAGAGCAGGGTGTCCACACTGCCACCGTGGTGCTTTAGCCTGGGTGCAGAAAGCTCTACGCCTCTCGTCGAGGTGGATTACCAGGAGTGCTCCAACCACGGAGTCGGGGCGCTCTATGTGCCTTGCCAGTGTGGACACCTCGAGAGTTATAGTGCCCAGGACTGATTTAACATGCTCCAATTTGACAGCATGTGAAGTGGAAAGAGGACATGTAAAATTATATATCAACATGACTGTCCAGAGCAGATACTGGCAGATCTGGGTTCTGAATATAATAATGAGGTAACAGTTTACATTTGGTGTTTTTTTCACTACATGGTCACCTGCATAATCATGGCCGTGTGACGGGGGCTGATAGCAGCTACAAACTGAGCCTTTTGGAAGCCAGCACCCTCGTCACTGAGCACTGGGCACCAGGTGCAGTTAGAGTAGGAGGGACTGAGTAGTTTGGGTTTGGAAGGGTAGAGGGGATCACCTGCACCTGTAGGGAGCCTGATGAGGTCATTAGCTCAGCGCTGAGAAGAAAGCAGCAGTATAAAAGGCTGAACCAGGGAGCAGGAAGGGGCCTCCTTGTAACTGCTGCTATGTTGTGATGCATCATAAATGGTAATAAAGACACTTGGTGGAGGTTCCCCGGCAGACTGCAGGCTGCTTAATTCACACAGAGGTCTGCTAGCCAGGGGTTGCAGGAGCTGATGCAGGAGCATTCATAGTTAGAAATTTAAAAATGAACATTGCCAGCAATCTCTTCATGACACTTCATGCTGTAAATTGTTAGTGACAACACACTTTTATGTCTTGTTAGATATGTTAATATACAACATAGTTTTTACTATTTGCGGACATATTTTCCCATATAATAACACAATTAGGTTGGATAAGAAACCATTTATTTTTAGATTAACATTTCCCCGTGTTAAAAACTAGGAAAAACAGATAGCTTCAGCAGCCCATGTCACCTGCACACCAGCAGACTGGATTAAAACACAAATGGATCCATCACAAGATAATTTTAGGGTATTTATTTTCAAATAATCAAGGTATGTTTAGGGCATGAATAAATTTTCAAAACTGAATTATTACACTGAAAATGTTCATAATGCATCACGTTTAAAACAAAAAGTAGTCCTAGCAATGCCATAAGATGTGCCTCCCCTCATACTCTGCTCAGCTAACTCTTCAAGAAATGATGTTCAATTGCTAATTTCAAGGAATTAGACCAATCAGTCACTATTTGTACACAGCATTCAAGAAGGTGGTGGTCAGAGAACCCAGAGGAACTGTAATGAATTTCCTGAAGCAACTTTATTTTCTTTGTACTCATATTTTGCATTGAGATTTCACAGGGGTAGAAAATTCTGACAGGAGTGAATGATCCCCATCCATCACCATCTGCTATCCCTGGACAGCGGACGGGGAAAGGTGAGGGCAGCAAAAACCCACTAGCTGTCTGGTAGTATTTCTTACCAGCATCACCCTGTGCCAGTGGTGGAGCAAACACAAGGGAAGGGGCGGGGGCGGGGGAGAAGCTGTCTGGCTCCTTCCAGCAAGTGTGTCCCATTCACCCAGCCTGTGCTGGGGTTGCCAGGTGTCTGGTTTTCTACTCCAGCTGAAAAGGGAAACTGGCAGCGTCTGGTCAGCACAAAAACCCCAGTTGCTGCAGTAACCGGCCTCCACCACCGGGGCCAGAAGATCAGCAGCGCTGGGAGGGGACAGTCTGTGCCGCGGGGTCACTGTCAGGGACAGAGATTCCCTCTGGCCTGAGCTGGGACCGGGCAGATTATCAGGGGCACCGCGTTTAACCAGGGACTGAAATAGGGGCGGAGCGTCCCGGAGAAGGTGTCAGTGAAAGTGAAGAGATGGGACCTGTCAGTCACATTGTAAAATGAGACCTCGCCCGCCTCATAGTCCAGGAAAATCCCCACCCGACTGGGCCTGACGCTCACGGGGAGGGGGGTCAAGGGGGGGGTGCAGGCGTGGTATCTCCCACCCCACAGCTGCACGGCCCAGTATCCATTCCCAGGTGAGAGTGTGATGTCCCCCTTCCTGCTCACAGATTCCCTACAAACCCCCAGTTCCCACTCAGGCTTGTCTCCCACCTCCACCTCCCAGTAACGCCTCCCACCCGTGAACCCCTCAGCGCCCAGGACACAGGAACAAGTATCAAATCTCTCAGGGTTGTCGGGCAGATCCTGGCGTGTGTCTCCGAATCTCACACGTTTCCGATCCTCAGACAGGACAAGGTAGGGATTTGCCGTGTCTGGATCCAGAGTCACGTCCACTGGGGAGAGAGTCACAGAGTCAGTGCTGGGGGCAGGGGCTGGTCACTGGGATCAAAGGGAAATTAACCTGCTTCCCGTTAATCGCTGGGGGGGGGTGTCGTTGCCTGAGGGGAGTCAGGGCCCATCTGCCTGTGAGGAAATAGCAGACGCCGCCGGGGGAGGGGGTGGGAAGGTGTCAGTGGGGGAGGGGAGAGGAGAGCAGCAGAGGGATGGGGGAGGGGACAGCTTGATGCTGGGAGAGGAAAGGAGTGGGGCAGGTGATGGGGCAGAGGGGAGGAGGGGAAGAGAGGGGCATGCACAAGGGCAATGGGGGGCAAGAGGAATTGGCACCAGGAGGGCAGAGCGGGGGTGAAGGGAGGCAGGTTCGAAGGGGCTGCAGGGGGTGAGGAGTGGGGCAAAGGGAGGGGAGGGGCAGGCACAAGTGCAAAGGGGGGCAAGGGAAGGGGTGGGCACCAGGAGGACGGGGCAGGGGAAGGGAAGAGCAGGTTCCAGGGGGTGAGGGGAGGGGTGGGCACCAGGGAAGAAAAAAGGGGACAGACCCCAGGGGCACAGGGAA